TTCTTTTAATTGAAATGTTTCCGTGTTGCATTTCAGTCATTGCTTCCCGCATCAGTTGAGACACGCCGCGGTTGGATTTGTTAATGTAGTTAATTATGTAACTACAACAGGCATAAGCGTCTAAGATAAATTGGATATCCATGTTGGCTCTATGTAATTCTAAGATACTCTTATTATACGCATTTAACAACCTATCAGAAAATTGACGACGTAAAAATACCTGGGGCTTTTTTAAGCTGGATCTAACTGCAAGCTTGTACTCCTCAAATGTGCTTCCAAGTTGGGAAAGAAAATAATTAAAATCGTTGTAGGTCGCTGCTTCATCTTCAGGACAAGATTTTAAAATATTTTTAATTTTTCTAAACAACGCTTTATGAGTGTCAAGACTGGCTTCATTTTCTTCCAAAGGATATAAGATGAGAGTTTCAGGCATGGGAGGGTATGGCATATTGAAGCGGCAAAATTCCTGGCCTCGCAGTTCTCTTAAGCACGATGAACTATGCTTATGGCGCTGATATTGAATTACTTCTTGCAATTCAGGATCGTTTCCGCTGGTAGTAATAAACCTATCAATAAAACGTACTAATTCATCAGAATTTTCCGCTCCTTCGAGGTTTGGCGCTCCAGAAAGCCAGTACATTCCATGAGAGTGTGGAGAGCCTCTGTGCTGGAACTCGATCCTCCAATAATAATGTGTTAGGGTATACTCCCCAAATATTTCGGAGCTTTTGAATAATTTTAATAATTGACGGAACCTGTAGTCAAAGTAACGGGAGCAAGTTACTGGGTCGGATCGGATCAGTCGAGCTTTTTCGGTACTGGATAATGATGCAGCTTCCTCCTCATTTATTATTTTGTTATCTAACAAAAGAGAAAGAATAATCAAAAGTTCATTCCATTTTGTTTCAGCAGCAGAAAGGGTGATAAAAAATGTAGGCAAACCAAATTGTCTTATCATTGCTATGACCTTTTTCTTTTCTGCTTCCCAATGAGCAGGAGCTGAACGCAAACCTTTTAAAATATGATACCCGTCGTCATGCTGCACTAGTCTGTCAATAAAAGATTCATCCCTTACGTTTGCAGCAGTTACCGCACCTGATTTTTTTCGTAAGGCAATGGAAATGGAGTTTTGAATTCGCTGCATCTCATAAAATTTGTACATATAAAGGACTTTAGGAACAACTGCACAACGTCGATCGTAATATCGAATTTGGGACCTCGCTTTTTTGCGTAGGTGGTCTTGGCCTTAAAAATTTCACCACAAGATATTGTTGGAAATGAAAGTTCTTCAGCATCGTCATCTAGGGTTAAATTTGTGGGACGGCGGCCTTCACCGGGAGCCAAAGCAATACGCTGAAAATCATTCCCGTTATTATTTTCTAATAGCGTTTCGTGACCACCAGGATTTAAATTTTCATCCTGTTGGTCGTTTGGTTGAGAATGTTGAAGGCGCAAAAGCTGTTCAACTTCTTCTCGGTCAGATTCATCTGCGATGAATGGTACTTCTTCGCTATCTCTCATTTCATTCAGCCAATCACCAATTAATGAGATATTGTGCTTTCTATACAGCTCTGTGTTTACTAAATAACGCACTGCTTCAAGCACTCTCGACGGACGAATTGTTTCCGTCATGAAATTATGGGAGTATTCTAACTTTCTCTTTAAGTGAACTTGGATAACATGTGTAGAATCAAAAGAGCGGGGGAGCGCACTTACTGTATCAGGTACAGAAATTGGGACATTAACTACAGCGCCTCTTATTCCGCATTGCCTTTCATATCCTAGGGATATAATGCGCATAAAGGGAATTCGGGGAGAAATGAGGCGCTCTTCAAGACATGTTAAATTTTTGAGACACTCGGGAATCTCTGGAAAATCAAAACCATTACCAAGACACAGAGATGGTATTCTACCTTTGGAAACGGCCTGGCGACATGTGCTGCAAAATTTGTATTTGCCGGACGGACTGGGAAATTTACTACTTAAATAAAATGCGTTGCCTACATTCATATTCGGAAACTTAGACGATATAGTAAATTTGTTCAAAGCACTCACCTGAGATATAAACCAAGTCCCTCCACAGCATATGCAGCATTCAGTTGGTCCGTATTTGATGTTTTGTAGATACTGCTCCTTTGCTGACGCTCGGCTCCTTCGGCGTTGTTGTTCCCGTTGATCCTCTCTTTCGTCTGCGGAAAGTCCAGCTCTAGCATCCATGTTTCGTTGAGACTGTCGTGAAGATTCAGCCTGTCGATTCTCCGAACTGGTCCTATACGTCAAGAGTCGTTCCTCAGCCATTTCCCGAATCCGTTGCTCCCGAAGCCTCCTCTGTAGACGTGTTTCCCGTTGTTGCAATGTCCTGTTGTGTATCTGATGTTCCCGAGAAATGGGGTCGTTCCTGGCAATCCTGTGAGCTTCCGCGTCCCGCTCTCGCTCCGGTCCTCGATTTGCATCATTCGCTCTCCAGACAGCGCGGCTTGCAGTGTTTTGTGACTGCTCTCTTTGTCGTTCCTCAGAAATTGCCCGCATCCTTGCGTGTGCTGCAGCATCCCGTGTACGCTCGGGTGCTCGGTTAACCTCTGCCGCTCTCCAGGTAGCATGATCGGCAGTATTTCGCAACTGCTCCCGTCGTCGTTCCTCGGAGTTCGCCCGTGTCCTTGCATGTGCTGCAGCATCCCGTGTACGCTCGGGTGCTCGGTTAACCTCTGCCGCTCTCCAGGTAGCATGATCGGCAGTGTTTCGCAACTGCTCTCGTCGCCGTTCCTCGGAGTTCGCTCGGGTCCGCGCGCGCGCTGCAGCATCCCGTCTACGCTCGGGTCCTCGGTTTTCCTCTGCTAGTCTCCAGGTAGCATGATCGGCAGTGTTTTGCAACTGCTCTCGTCGCCGTTCCTCGGAGTTCGCTCGGGTCCGCGCACGCGCTGCAGCATCCCGTGTACGCTCGGGTCCTCGGTTTTCCTCTGCTAGTCTCCAGGTAGCACGATTGGTAGTGTCCCGCAACTGCTCCCGTTGCCGTTCCTCGGAGTTCGCTCGGGTCCGCGCACGCGCTGCAGCATCCCGTCTACGCTCGGGTCCTCGGTTTTCCTCTGCTAGTCTCCAGGTAGCACGATCGGTAGTGTCTCGCAACTGCTCCCGTTGCCGTTCCTCGGAGTTCGCTCGGGTCCGCGCACGCGCTGCAGCATCCCGTGTACGCTCGGGTCCTCGGTTTTCCTCTGCTAGTCTCCAGGTAGCATGATCGGCAGTGTTTTGCAACTGCTCCCGTTGCCGTTCCTCGGAGTTCGCTCGGATCCGCGCACGCGCTGCAGCATCCCGTGTACGCTCGGGTCCTCGGTTTTCCTCTGCTAGTCTCCAGGTAGCATGATCGGCAGTGTTTTGCAACTGCTCCCGTTGCCGTTCCTCGGAGTTCGCTCGGGTCCGCGCACGCGCTGCAGCATCCCGTGTACGCTCGGGTCCTCGGTTTTCCTCTGCTAGTCTCCAGGTAGCATGATCGGCAGTGTTTCGCAACTGCTCTCGTCGACGGTTTTCGGAGATAGCTCGAGTTCGTGCCCGCGCTGCAGCGTCCCGTTCGCGTTCGGGCTCACGATTTTCCTCTATAGTCCTGCGAGCTGCATGGCTGGCAGTATTTAGGGCCTGCTGCCGTCGTCGTTCTTCAAAATTTTCCCTGGTATTGGCGTAAGCTGCGGCGTCCCGTACACGTTCAATAGCTCGAATTCGTGCACTACGCCTTCTCAGAGCGAGGGCAGCAGTTTCTCGTGCTCGAATTTCTGCTACCACATCGATATTCGTAGAGCGAGTCAAGGCAATATGCTGGGCATTTCTGGTCCTTATCTGAGACGAATTTTGTGCATATCGATCTCGGCTACGAGCAAGCGCAGCTTGCCTACGCTGTTCTTGCGACAAAGAAGATTTACGTGGCATTCTCTGGAATTGGCTGTTAAAAAAAATTGGAAGAAAAAATACATAGCGAATGTTTGATTAGACCACATTAATAAAAGTGGTATTAATGAATGGGTTATGGCTAAGTCCTAGTAGAATTAACTTCCACTTCAAACTGTATACAAACGAATGACTTACCAAATCAAATATTTCCAAGATTTGTTTTGTTGTTTTAACCACTTCAACTTTTCACTTCTACACAAACGTTTAAAAAAAACTCGCACTGTAAAAAATACTGCACCACTTGTATAAGTTGTAACTCGGCAACTGTCAATCACAGACTAATCCGCAGCTTAGGCGTACGCGTCAATAAATACTCGTAAGTTGGTGATTTACCTGTTAATTTGGTTATCCTTTTCTTTTTCCCTACATACAGGTAGTGCACGTGTCGATGATGCAATTTTACGACATTTGGTAACCCTTTTTAGAAGGGTCTTAGGTAAATTAGGTCGCTTGTGCACTGTAATAAATGTGCAGGTGTGCGCACCTGATACCTATTGTTAATATTGCGTAATTTTAAGAAAAATTAAAAATAACCAGGTATATAATTTCTACAAAATACCTTCTAAATATAAGGAGTTTTTCAAGAGGAAGATGCGATCCGTTTTTGAAATAAACATCAATAACTTAGGCAGGTCCACCAATAATTGTATAATGCGATAATTCAGATTATTTCTATATTTTGATCATTCTTGTTATACTATTATATATTAAGAAGTCCTCAGATTTTAAATTACCATTGTTGATTATACAAAAACCGTCATAGCTTCGATGCTGTTAGCCTTTATATATTTTGTTCGACATATTTGATGTCTGCAAGGGTATATAAGCTTCGGCTTGCCGAAGCTAGCTTCCTTTCTTGTTGAAAAATAAATTACAGCTATTTGTATCTACTTGTATGTCCATATTTCTGCCCTACATCGTGTCTGTTGGATATCCTAGATTTTTAGAATCTCCTCAATTCCCACCAGAGTGTCCTAAACTTGGTTTTGAAGAGTTTTGTAGCCCCATCCACCCCCTGAAACCAGTCCACGTTATCCTAATTGCTGAATCTTAGCCTCATCAAGATGAGGCGCCATCTGGCGTACGGTGGCCGCAGCTGTCGACCTCACAAGGACACGAATACGGATGTGGATGCGGCACGGATGCGGATGAGGTTGTGACACGGATGCGGATGCGGATGTGGACACGGACGCGAGCGCGGCACCGCGACCAATAGATTTGGCCAAGCCCAAGCGAACTGAAGACAACGAGAACTGCAGCCCGCCAAAGGCAACAAACCCCGGACCACATGCAACAATCGCAGCTACGGCGACGCCAACTGTGACAGCGACGCCGACTGCGGCAGAGGCAGCGACCGCGACTGCGACGGAGACACCGAGCGGAGGAAAAAGGAGAACAGACAGAGCGGAAGCGAGTTCCGGCGACTTATGGCCATGTTTGTTGTACGGGTAAGTAGCAGCAGGATCTGTGAAAGAGCAGCAGCGAAATGGCGCGCGCGAAAAGGAAACTCAAGAAGTAGAGCTCGGGAAAGCAGCAGTAACAAACACGCACACTGCCACACACACACACATAGACATTCACACACAGACAGACACACACGGACATAAAAAAAACAAGTAAAATGGTATTTTTTCTTGCACATGAAGCAAAAAACGCTAGCAAACTGAAAGAAATACATTGCAGGCGTCGAGCAAAAAACGAAATAATAACAAAAAGTTGTAAAAGAAAAGCGAAACCGTGTGATGTCCTGGCACAAACACACTCGCACACTCACACGCACACAGATAGCAGCAGAGGAGAATGCCGCGACGACACATCGAAGAAAGGATAAAAACATTCAGCGCTGCCCTCTGCCCGCGTCTCCGTCGGCGTCGCTGCCTCCGCCGGCTTCTCTGCCGGAGGATAGCTGCAGATGTAGCTCCTGCTGCTCCTGCTGCTCAACTCGGCGCCCTCCTGGCCCCGTTAACATTTCACGAGCGCCAATTTCTTTTCCTTCATTTTGTTTATATTATTTCCCTTTTTCTTACTATTTTTTCCGCTGCTCAGCTGAAGCTCGTTGTTTTGTTTGTTGCCTGCCTCGCTCGCTATGCAATTTCTCTGAATGTTTTTCTATTATCCGCTGCAACATTTTCCCCTTTAAATGAACTTCGGTCTGTGCGGAAGGGACAAATCATTTCGGTATATTTTCAAGTCGAATTAGGATCGAGGTTGTTACAAGAATTAATGGGAAATTAAAGAATGTTCATAAACGGAATTTAATAGTGTTGATTTTTAGTATGGTATAACCTTCAAAATTAATAAAAAATGATGAAATTAATAATTATAAATTATACTCTTTAGGGATTCTACAAAAAAAAATATTAATCTATTTTTGAAGGTCACACGGTGTACTTATGTTTAGCAAAAGTCTTTCTTAACCCTTAAAAGGATTTTGCTTCTACCATAATAATCTGCTTTAACTGCTTTAACTGCTTCAACTGTTATTCTCTTTAAGAATATAAAAAATATATTAAGATTGCTTTCTTGCAACGCTCATCTAAGCCGATTTGCTTAAAAGAAGTATGAAGACAACCGCCGAGACCTTTTACCAACACAAAAAAAACATAAGGATTTGAGAGTGCAGTAGTTGCACTTGCAGCGCAGCTGGCGTCGCAGTCGGCGTTGCGCGAGCAGCGAGTCGGCGGATGGGGCCCCCAAACTAAATCCTGTCCAGGAGAATATGTTTTTATGTGCATGTGCTGGCAGCGCTCATGTTTTCTTTTATGTTCAAGGATTTCCAGCTGCCCTTTGCTGGCAGTCCACACACGCTTATTTGTTACATGCACACACACATGTTGCGGTGTGGGTAAATATCCTGATAAGCGAAAGGAACGTGCGTCCATTTTGCATCGCCAACAGCAGAAGAAAATGGTATTGGCCTTTAAGATACATTAAAAGCTCAGAAAAATGAGCAAACAAAATTGTTTCTTGCGGGATAATTGAAACGTATGCCAACAAGAAATGTTCATTCCGGCTTAAAAGTTTGTAAAAAAGCGACCTGTGACATTTCAAGTAGGTGTATAACCCTATATGTTTAATATTAATTTTTTTTTATGTTCAAATAGTTTTAAAATTTGATATTATTGAATGGTTAATAAGCCGAAATTATTAATAAAATGTAGTATTCTATAAAAAAAAATAAAATTAAATATAACAAAATAAAGAACTGTCATAATCTAACCAAAAAATAAAAAAAATTTCGAGTGCTTTTTACTTTTTATCAACAAACTCCACAGGTTGAAAGCTACTCCTAATATTTCTCAGCGCTCTGGTTCTTCTTATTGACACTTGTTGATTTGCATTAATTTTGCCTTGGCCACTTGAAGCCATCAAGTCAATGGCCATTAGTGTGCGAAAAGCTTTGAAAGCCAGGCAATTATGGCATATCCTGTGCACGAACCCAGCCGGTAAAAAGTGTCCTTTAAGCCTCCAGAAAAAGCCAAGCAGGAGCTTGAGCATTTTGCCCCCAAAAACACTCGAAAGCACGGCTTCTCTTCGTTTTTTCGCTCTGGCTTTCCCCAAAAAAGAGAGCGTGGATGCTCTTTCACACTCTCTTCGAGTTGGGGGCGTGTTTGTTTTCGTGTTTTTTACTCGTCTGCCACTTGTGTGTGTCGGTTTTTGCCCCGCTTGGGTTTTAAGTGTTATTGGATGATTTTATGGAAATTGATTTGGAGCACGCCCACTTTTCGGTGGTGGGAGAAGGGAGGAGGGAAAACAAGTGCAGCAGCTGCCCCAATGGGGATGCCAACCAATAATTTGGAATAATAACATTATCCATACATTGTTATAAAAGACGGCTTTTAGCCGTATTAGCCGTGCACTGGGCGAAAAAATCGGTATGTTATTTCAAACTTATTTTTCAAATATAGCTCGGCGAATATACTCCTAAATGTTTCTTAAGTTATTAAAATTTAAGGAAAATGTTCCTATTAAAACTTAACAAAGTGTCCTTTTCCTTTCCTAATAAAATACAAATTTAAGAAATTGTCAATCACTGATTGTAGGAAATATCTAGTTTCACACACCTAGAATTTTTTTCAACGCGGTTTCGTATTGAGAGTTTCTTTTAAAAGATATAATGGTATATGATTTTTTATTGGCATTATATCTAATTTTATTTTTAATTCTAATATTTTCTTATATTTTTAATGTGCAGAATCTAAATATTGTGAAAATGTACACAATATTTATGTTTTTTACATTATTTGCTTTATTGGGATTAATAATATTATTAAATCGGATTGCGATTAATAATATTATTAACTCGGATCAGATAATCAATCTATTTGTTTTATTGTTTGACAAAAAAATATTTTTTAATTTACCTATATGTTTTTAAGTATCTCAAGTTTTTTATAACTAATCAAAACTAATTTTCGTTCCGAATAAATTATTTGAATTGTTTTTATTTGGCAAAAGCCTTCTAAGACTTATTGCGTAAATTGCACAACTTTTTATGTACAAGTGCTAATACTTTGAACCATTAACTAATTAAATAGTCATTGTTAATTTCCTAAATGTCATGTAAAACCGTTTAGTCAGCTTTAAAACAAAATTACAAATGTTTTTCATTAAAATATATATTATTTTGATTTGTAAAATTAATTTAACTGTCCTATCTAGTATTATAGCACATATTTTGTTTTGTGAAATTATCTTTATATTGATAGTAATTAGGATTTCTATCGTTTTATATATCAGCATACAACATTTCTCTCACTGTACTCACCCGAAACGTGTGCTCGACGGGACAGTCGAGGCCCAGCGAGTAGTCCTCGACGACGGATCCCAGCGAGGAGGGCTCGCCGAAGACCTGCTCGATCTTGATGGGCGGACTGGGCAGCAGGGGCGTGCCGCTGGATCCTCCGACGGCAACGGAGGCGGCGGCAGCAGCAGCGGCGGCTGCGGCGGCGGCAGCGGCAAAGGACCCCTCGACGATTACTGGCGATCCCTGGCCGCCGGTCTGGCAGACGGGAACCGAAACTGATACTGAAACTGGAACTTGAAGTGGAAGTGGACCGTTGCAGGGCGTCGGTGGGGCCGGGCAGGGAGAGGGCGTGGCCGGGCCCTGGACATGGCCATCGTGGTAGGGGGTCACAACGAACGAGGGGTACGATCGGAACTGGTGGTAGTCACTGTGCCCGTGCGAGCTGTTGTGCGGATTCGAGTGAGGATGGTGCGCCAACTGAGGTCCCTTGTACCAGGTACCATGCATAATCATTTAAGCACCTTCGATTGGCGGTCGGTCCACTGAAGCGGTTTGCCTATTTGATTCCACTTGGAGGCATTCAGAAAATCTAATTCTCCGTTATTTGATTTCGACTCTAATTGTTTTGCTTACAACCCTATTGTTTTATTCACTTTTGGGGTATTTAGCTTCCTAATGAGGAAAGTCAAGTGGTTAAAAAGCAATCATTAAAACTTAAATATGCAGCTTAGATAACTTTGAAGTGTACTAAATCCATAAACAACATTTTGAGTACCAGGCTGAGTAGTAAAGTTAACGATAAAGATACAAAATATCTAACTTCTATTCTATCCACTAGTTTCTTACTCAATTAGTTATCAATTTTATTTGGCAGCTTAGAATTTCTAATGGCGTAAATTATGTGAATAATGAGAGGTTCTGACCAACTAAAATTCATCTATAATTTAATTACTGTAATTGATTGTTTCGATTTTAAAAAGAAGTGACCATTTTCATTTTTGTCACCAATTCTATTTTTATTATTATCAAACGAAAAAAGTATTATAATCAACAGAGATTAAACACAAAACAAAGTTATTAATACACCTTTTAATTCAAAGCGCAACAAATTAATTTTGTCATTACAATCAAAGTTTATTTTCATTTTTAACGGAATTTTAGACTTTTTAATAAGCTGAGTGTTGGATTTGAAAGCCTTTGATCTTTATATGCTCAAAAAAAACATTAGAAAACGGTTACAAATTGACTCGTAATAGATGTTTAGAAAAAGTATAAATTCTGTAAAGAAATACAGTCCTTTTTTTTTGGCTAATTGAAATTTTAGTAAACTTTTTTTTGACTTCCTTGCCTCTTTCTCTAATATTTGAATGGACGCGATTGTGGCTCCCCTTGTGAGATTCGAATCATTTCTTAAGATACATATTTAGTAAGCGCTTTACTGTTTAACCATTTGACATTCACTCTCCACTAAGCCATCTGGAAATTCCCTTTTTTACTTCTAGGTATAATTGGTTAATTTTTATTTTTTTATTCACTTGCATTCACTTAGCTCGCACTCAGCTGATCGCGATCACAAAACAATTTATGTATGAACGCACCAAAAAACACGTTTATTACGGCCCGAATGTATTGACACTTGACCAATTTCGACCCTTTTGCGAGGGGCTGGGTTTATTCGCGACTTTTTCTGACGTGTGGTGATAACAATTTGCGACTTCACTCCGCTCGATTTTTAATTGTGATACCGCGAGCTGGGGGAGCAGCTGCACTTGCGGAATGGCGAAAATGCATTGCACTTTGCGACAGAATTCTTCGCAGATTGGGACGCGCGAGGGCAAAAAAGACTGGCTTTGGCAAGAGTGCACTTGGCTGGAACGCGCGCGAAAGTGGCCAACTGGTGGACAGTGGCCGGCCGTTTGGGCCAGGTTTAATTTGGCTTAGCTCTTGGCTCAGCAGAAGCGGCAGCAGCGAGCAGCGCAAAAAGTAGCTGCCAGCTCGCAAGAATTCCGAACTCGAATGCTGAGTGCGGCCACGAAAAAAACATTCAAATGCCTCGCACTCGCCGCCAAATCGCAGCGCAGCTTGCCCTCTCTCTCGCACACAGTAGCTGCCTCTCGCTCGGAGCCACGGAGTGCATAGCTTTGGGGCAGACGGCGACGCCTGCGCAACAGCTTTTTACTCCTTTTGCTCCACTGCAGAGGCAAAAAAACGGGTTCGCTCGCTCTCTCTCCCTCTCTCGCATTCGGTGGCTCTCCCTCTCTTGGGCGATGGAAAAAATTGTTTGTGGTTTTTCCTGCTGCTCGCTTTTTGCCCCCACGTCTCTTGAGCAACTTTGATTTGATTTCGGGCTTTTTGCCTGAGTGGCTTTTCTTTTCTCTTGACTTTGAGCATGAATGAGCATATTGCATGTTGCAGGTTGTACGCTGCACGCTGCACGGCGAACGGTTAATGTTGCGCCCCCTTTTTATGGCTCAACCTTTATGGTAACACCCGAAGGCGTTATAATGACGAAAAATGAAAGTTCAAGTGCGACTTCAGAGAAGAGATTATGAATCAAAAATATAATATATGCGAATTATCTATACGTTTTTAATGATCGCGCACACTTAATTTTGGACAAATTAAGACTAATCAACCTCAGGTTTGGAGAAAAGCAAGGACAGTTTTTGATTTCATAATTAAAAAGAATTATAGATGGTTGATAGAATGGCTTAGATTCCAGAAGTTACATGTTTGAAATTGTATAATTCTTACAAAGCTTATCTTATGAAAAAAACTTGTAAAGAATATTTTCATTTCGTTGAAAAACTTTAATAATTGCAAAAATGTAAGTCAATATATTTCTTATTTAATAAAGTTAAGCTTGTTTATAATGCTCTTAATTTAAAAAAATATTGTTATTCGTGTTAGAAATTTAAGAAGAAGCCTTATAAAACAATTGTGATAGCGTGTTTTGTGCTGGGGCTTCATTGGTAAAGAAAATGATCACAACTTCATATTATAACATGATAGAATTATTGATAAATAATTTTCAAAGTTTTTTTTACCAAATTAAATACAAGAATATGCATTTATTGCATTTATTCCGCTCCCAAATGCATAATTTTCTGCGCAAGACAAACGGAGAAACACAAAAAATCGCATCCGCCGACCATTAGCCCATTGACCAACTTCGATGGCGCACCACGCGTAGTAATGAGTTTTTAATACATGTAATATTCAAATTAAAAATCCGCAAAAACTACCAAAGTCAGTGGCAAAAACAAAACACACTTTTTGTGGATAATAATCGCACATATTCATATCAAGCGGTGGCGAGGAGGCCAGAAAAAATTTCACTCATACGCAGTGTAAACCAAGCTCAAGAGCAAGCCGGGAAAAAGCGGCGATGTGCTCTTAAAAAAACACAATAAAATCGGGCAAAAAGAGAGGGCATTTGAAAGAGAGAAAGAGAGGGCGAGAGTGTGCGAACAGGTCGGCATGTGGGCGAAGGCGGTGGAATTTTTATTGGAGCACTTGGTTTATTTCTTTTGGCTCTGCTCGCCCCTGGATTGGCATCTTTTTCTTTGCCTTTTCTTAAGTCTTTTTTGTAATTTTTTGTTTTTTTTTTTTCGTACAGCTGACAAGGCATTTTTTATAGACACGGACATGTGTCGCCGGCGGGTGGGAAAAAGGCAGCAGATTTTGGCTGTGACAACTGCAACTGCAACTGCCATTCCTCGGGGAAAAAGCTCGAAATAAATGAAATTAAAATGCAAGTGCTGCATGGGAAGGCCGTTTATTTAGTTAATCAATGCAATTGGCCCGTCCACCTGGGGAACTCAGAACTTAATGCACCAGTTCCACTATGCCAGGTATGTTGGCTGCTTTTCCTTATTTGAATCACTAGGAAATTGCTTCATTTGGCGAATGTTATTTCCCCTGCCGACGGCGAATTTAATGTGCAGCAGTTTCCCTTTCGGTTTATCAGCTAATTTGATTATTTCACCTAATTGCCCACCCGCCGCAATTGCATATTTTTTATGGCCTTCCATTTGTCGGGCTGCCATTTTATGCGCTTTTCGTGCCGTTTTTCATTTAGTTGAGTGCTGTAGAAATTTTGTTATCATTTTTTCACTGTCGCCGCCCTTGTTTGCATTGTCATCAATGCCATTTTGTATTTGCATACGAGCAGCCATTTTGAGTGATGACCCGGAGATAAATGTGGGCTGATGCACTTTGTGAACAATTATTAAATAATCGAACTTGGGCTTGTACATTGTATCATATTTTACGCAGATAAGTGAGCTCGAGTTCGTATAGATTATAACAGAGGAGTGTTAGATGTTTGAATAGAAATACCAAAATGAAATATGAACAAAATGTGAACATATAAATATATTATAATAATTGTAATAATATGTCGACTTTAGAAAAAAAACTGGTTAAAAATTGTCAAAATATATTTTTTGTTTTATTAAATATAACATTTTGACGACTGGTAATAAAAAGTCGGCAAAATGTTATATTTAAAAAAAGTTACAAAATAAAAATTAAATGGTATTTAATAAAAGTAACTGCTAAAATCTGATTTCAAGTCAATAAAATATATATTTCGGGACTGATTTCAGAGTTGTTGATTTGTGTGTGGTTAAAAAAGATAATCAACTTACAACTTTAAAAATGTTTTAGATGAGGAAATGCTCAATGCTATATTGATCAGTATTGCATGTGCAAGTTTTAATAGAATTCCAAATATTAAACATAACCTGAATAATTGCAAATTGATTGTAATTTAAGTTATGTAAACTATTCCTTCTTTATATAGCACGCATATCCATTCTTTACTAAAGTTAACTGCCATTTTATTAAATAATTTCCAGTCGTGTCGAAAGAATTTTCACTGATTCAGAGTCTGATTTTAAATTCTACAACGGAGAAAGAACCTATTTTATTTACTATAAGACCTATTTTGGCAAGAATTTTTTCTTAAATAGAATATTGAAGCATATGTATAAAAGTTTTTATGGCTTTAACAATGTTCCTAGAAACGAAAAATTTGGTTTCTCGGTGGCAAGTTTATTTGTGATATCCAATGCAAAAAGTTTTTTTGGAAACGATTTTGAGTAACAGTTGCACGAAGTGGAAGCCGCAATGCAAAGTCCGCAGCCAGTTGCATGATGGCGCACATTTATCGCCGCAAACCGCAGCGGGACAGATAACTGATGTGGCTGCAGATGCTGCAGTGCGGCGCCAGCGACTCCAGAAGCCTCGGAGCGAAATGTCAAAATGCCAGCCAGCAAGCCAGCAAACCGGCAGTCGAGAATCGGGAACAGTGGCACAGTGGCAAGAGGCAGTGGCAAGAGGCACCGCAAACAGGGCCCAGATAGCCGTCATGCTTGGTCATGGACGCCAAATGGTTGACAGACTCTCCGGACAGCTGCAATGGCGCAGGGGCAGGGTTTCGGCTATGGCCTGGGCTTAGGGCTCCCGACCAAGTTGCATCGAGGGTCCGGAGAGGCTCCGCCTGTTTTTCGACCGCTTTTTGCCGATTGGCCAAACGGGTTGGCCGAATGCCGCAGAGCGAGACAACAGGGCGCATGAGCTACACTTCCATGGAGAGCGAGTGAGGGGCCACCAACTGAATGGTGCCCCGAGTGAGATGGAGCAACTTGGAGTGCTAAGTGGGAGGGAGACAGAGCACGTCTTAAGAGCAGGCTCTAAGCCAAGCGCTCTTTGGGCCTCGCGCTCTGGGCCAATTCTGCAACACGTGTTGGCGTGCTGGCCTGCGTGCAAAATAACCGAGTTTTTTAGACACTCAACCGACGCGTATTTTGTTAATTTAATTAAACAAAAACGTTTTGTTTGTGTTTTTTCATTTGTTGCTGGCCAAATGCTTTTTGCCCCGTCGCCGAGCACAAAATGAAATTGGAATCGCGCTCGTGCACAACTTTGAATATGTTGAGCTCTCTCAAATGGTTGTTGCCGCCGATACTTCTGCCTTTGTTTGTTGTCGATTTTTGTCCGTCCGTCCGCTGCGACATTTGCGCTTTTTGCGGCATCTTGTTTTCCCTCCGATTGCTGTACATGTTGTATCTGCCGTTTAATGACTTGCGCCGTTAAGTTTTAATTGAAATATCACACATTTGACCACTGGAAGTTGCAATTGCAATTGTCTGTTGCGATTTGCTGGACCTTATTGATGTTTATTTGGGTTTTAAGCGAAAACTCGATTAATTTAAACTTGGTTTGTAAAACAAAAGAGGTAATTTCTATTCATACAAATCGGAATAATATTATTTAATTTTTTTGTGAACGTATTTCGATACAAAATAAAAACAAAAAAATCCAGGTAGTTAAAAAGGAAAATTGTACCTATATAATTTTTTTCTACTGCTTAGGAAGCTGCACATTTCATCTTGTTTTAGTTAATGCGATCAATTCCATTGCCTTAACCCTTAATAACGGTAACAAAAATGTACATCAAATAACCTTATAAAACTGGGTTAATTTCCAAAAAAGAAGACTTTAGGTAAATTGTTAACGGAAGCAATGCGAGCTTTAATTCAGAACTCGCATGTTTGAGGGCCAACACTGCGACTGGGAAAGTTTTAAAACTTCCGCACGGGACTTCCGCGTCCATTGTCGATGATCGCAGGCTGATGATCGCAGTGGCAATTGAAGGGGCTCTTGGCTAACTTGGCTGACAGCCTGAAGAGTCAGTCAGAGCCAATTGCAGCGGTAATTGGAGCCAAGTCAAGACGTCGAGGCGTAGGCGATTAAAAGGCGATTATTTCAATTGTGGCACGAGAAATAATGATGCCAGTCGATGGACGGATGGAAGATGCTGCCCAGTTGAGTCGAGGAGAAAAAGCAGTCACCTGTCAACGAATTCGGCTTAGCTGTTATGTTAATGCGCCAAAACCGCTGACATTTATTGGCAGTTATTTATGGCGGACACTTCGCGCGGACTCTTGGCGGGACACCATTTTGGGGCCTGGCCATTTTGGTGCGTTTTTTAAAGCGCTGCCCGACTATGGAAAATTCTATAATTGTGCAGGTGACAAAGCGAGTGGCACGCGCTGCTGACGCTGATTAGAGCCAGTGGCAGTTGCAGTTGCAGTTGCACCTGCAGCTGCACTTGCCGCACTGCCAGTGGCAGATACTTCGTCTCGAGTCACGCTCGTTTGTCCGCTGGCATATGACCATAACGATATTATTAATTATGACAATATTGGAGTAAAAGTGTTCGCCACGAGACGCTGCCTTAAAAGGTTCGATGTGACACTCCCTCGAGGATATCACAATGTATTCCGACTAGAACTTAGAATGCTAGTTTACTGTGGTCAATAATGCAAATCGGCTGCATAGCTATGCGTTTAAATCGTGCAGTTCGATATTTTGTAAATATTTTTTAACCTCATTGAATGTTTATTCAATATATTTCAGTTGTATAGGAACGGTGTTACAATTTTATTTAAACTTCTTAAAAAAAACATTATAGTTATTTGTACTAATTATAGAGAAGCAGTATGCTTAATATATCTTTCGAAAGCTTACTTTATAAATAGTATCTTTATTATAACAGTAACAAATTTACTTTGCAAATTAAATATCTAACAATTCATTCTTGCTTTGAATTTTATAAATATATACATAAACAGATGAGCTTGATTTCTATTTATCTGTTCAATTTGTATTATTATTATTTTGTTTTTTTTTTCCTAAGTTAGAATATTTTGCCGAAGTTAAAAAAATTTGAAGCACTGTACTGGTATTTTCTATCTGTGAGATTTGCTAGCGGGATGCTTGACTAATGAGTTTATTAGTATTTATATGGACTTCTACAGAGCTGTCGGCCAGGCATATTCAAATGAAATCGGCTTTCCTGTTCTGGATCGAGGTGATCTTCCGAGAAATATCGATATCGAGGCACGTGTCATCTCTCGGACTTTCTGATGACATGTCCATATCTGATGGGTGTTCGATTTGTCACAGCGTCCAAAATTGGTCATTCAATGCTGGTCTAGTTGGTGATGGGCTTGTGAAAATATTTAACGTCATAGTCTAGGTACGCTTTTGTATGCAATGACAAATTACCAATGCCAAGGTAAACGACGGTTTTCACTTCTTCGAAAATGTATTCAAACTACTTTTACGGAATAGTATGTTATTCATTTAATACATCCCACTTTACATACATCAAATGCTTTTAATTAAAAAAATTTTCCTCAGCTTAATCAATAAAATGTATTCTGTAGTAAAACATGGATACTACAACTCGTCCCTCGTACGATTTATCAGAGTGTAGCGGTGCTTGGAAGGCTTCAACTCCTTGAACTTGGATTCGTGGGCGACCGGCGGAAATTCTTCGGGAGCGATTGAAGACTCAGAGTTTTCGATCGTCTCGAGGGCCATGTGGTAATTGAAATGCAGTGCGCCGCTGAACAAGTCATCGATAAAGTTTTTTAAGATGCCCGGCTGGTGGATATCCTCGTAGCGCGGAAATAGATACATGTGCGCGAAGGAATCGATGGCGATGACGGGCAGATCGCCCAACGACTTTCCCAAGTGATAAAGGGGGTGCGTAAAGCGAGATCCTTCAGCGCTTAGGAAGTTAACCCTTGTCTCGTTCGGTAGCTGGTTCTGAATAGCGTTCTTAAACTCCTGAATGGGACCCATGTCGTGCTTATTGTAGAACAGTAACACGAACGGCAACCCCTGCTCCGCAAGTTCTTCAGCATTATCAAAGGTGATTTCCCGCACCCGCGGCACACACTTCCTATCGACCCAGCTGGTTAGTTCTCTCAAGCTGGTCATGTTGCCCGAGTACTCACTGTAGTACTCCATTTGGAAAGAGATCGAAGGGTCAGCGCGAAAGATGAGGACATTCTTTTCGGGTGGACGGAGATCTTTAGTCAACTCACCAAAGCCCACGAGATACCTTAAAAAAATCACAAAGGTTACTAAATATGTGGTTATAGGTAAGTATAAAGAAGTATTTTATATATCTATATTTGCTTTAATCATTAATTCAGTGTACTGTAAACTCACCTACAATCTTTTCGCAACAGACTCGCTACTTTGCGATAGTTATCATATTCGATGTGATTCCTGGAAATAAAGTAACCGATTACAATGCCCTCGCCCACTTCAGCGTTTTTAAGCTCATCAACGCTGAGGACCTCTTTGATTGGATCCGATAGCTCCTTCTCCACAAACTGGACGAAGGCAGCCACAGATCTCTGGCCACGATACTCCTGGTTGCTTATGAATCCATTCCTAATGATCTTCAGGGTGGGATACTTGATTATTTCGAACGTGTCGGCCAGTTTTTCCTCCCGATCGCAGTCTATTTTTCCAAGGACTACACGGCCCTTCTCGGGAAATTTCTCGTGAACCCTCTCCGCCGCCTCCTCGAAAATGGGGTAAAGAATTTGGCTAAAGCGACACCAATCCGTGTAAAAACTGAGCAACACCAACTCATTGGATTCGACAATTCCGTCCAGGTTTTCACGGGTCACCACCACCGTAGCGTTTCCAGAGGCTAGCGAAAGTTGATGATCTAGGATTGCCAGCAGAATGGGGATACTCAAACCACTGGTCACCTTCATTTTCACTTATGACAGATGACGTTGTAAGGTTTTGTGGAGAATATCAAATTCGATGTGTCAAATCTTTGAATTTAAAGCGTACCTAAGGGATTCGCCGCACTTGCATGGATGTTACTATATCATCTGTTCAACAGCCCACCTTCAGCATCTGCAATCATGAAGCTTCTGAGTTTGGTTGTATTCGCTTTACTGGGCATCGCGAACTCTGCAAATGGAATGCCGCCATGGGAAGATTTAGCCAGGAGCGATATAGATCCTGGGAGGGAATAAAGTTAAAACAAACAATTTCTGATTGCTTTTATTTAGAATTACTAATAAAGTGAATTTTATTTAAGCCGAAAAAATCGAAAGTTTTGTTTTAATAGTAAAGGGCAACCTCACAATTTTCTAAGCATTTTGAAAAGTTTAGGTTTCTGGGTAAGTAATTCAACAAAAATTAATATAAAAGTATTTTGATTCTATAAAAGACAGCAGAATAAGATTTTCTGCCAAAAATAAGAAGAAGAAGATTCGATGCGGAACATTTGAAGTATTTTACTATTTATGACACTTTCTGAAAATTTAGGGTCAACACCACCGTAGCGTTCTTAAATACTGGAGAAGGTTGAGGAACTAGGATTGCTAGCGAATGGGGATACTCAAACCACTGGTCACCTTCATTTTCACTTATGACAGATGACGTGGTAAGGTTTTGTGGAAAATATAAGATTCGATGCGCCAGATCTTTGAATTTAAAGCGTACCTAATGAATTTTCCGCACTTGCATGGAAGATACTATATAATCGGCTGAACAGCCAGCCTTCAGCAACTGCAATCATGAAGCTTCTGTGTTTGGTTATATTCGCTTTACTGGGAATCGCGAGCCCCTCATATGCAATGCCCAAATTTAGATCGACGCGGTATGGATAATAAAATAAAACAAACAACTGCTGATCGTTTGAATATTAGAATGACTAATAAAGTGTGTTCTATTTAAGCAGAAAATATCAAAAGTTTCGTTTTAATAGTAAAGGGCAACTTAACAATGTTGTGAACATTTTGAAAAATTTCGGTTTATGGGTAAGTACTTAAATGAAAATTAATAACAAAATATTTTGATTATATAAAAGACAGCAGAAAAAGATATTATACCAAAAAAAAAAAGATTCTATGCGGATTTGAGGTATTTTACTATTTATGACACTTACTGGAAAGTACGGCTATCGTATCTTTTGTTAAAAAAAAACAAATTATTAAATTTTTAAAGGTTTAATGAGGAGGAATAAAAATATTTTTTTTCGCCTAGTTCCTCAAGGGTGCGTCAAATCGTAGAATTTAAAGCGTACCTAAGGGATTCGCAGCACTTGCATTGGAGGCTACTATATAATCTGTTGAACTGCCTGCCTTCAGCATCTGCAATCATGAAGCTTCTGAGTTTGGTTGTATTCGCTTTACTGGGCATCGCGAACTCTGCAAATGGAATGCCGCCATGGGAAACACTAGTAGGAAGCGAATTCCATTCTGGGAGGAAATAAAGTTAAAACAAGCTATTGCTGATTGCTTTCAATTTATAATTACTAATAAAGTGAATTTTATTTATGCCGAAAATATCGAAAGTGTTGTTTTAATAGTAGGGGAGAGCGGGGCATTGTCGTCACTTTTTTTTTAATTGCGTAATTTGTTGATAAAATAACTTATTTTTATCATGTAATATACATGGTTGGATTCGGAAAAGATCTGGCTATAAAATGCAGTAAGTATTTCGGACATCCTCTCACTTGTTTATTAATACGAAACTGTTATCTGAAAGAAGGCAAAATTGGAAAATTGAAAAATCGTGGGGCAAAGTCGTCACCCCCCTGGGGCAAAGTCGTCACATAGAATAATGAATGCAAATATAGGTACCCATGTGCACAAAACTATTTCAACTTGTCAAACACACATTTATTGATATTCATACATATAAAAAAGTGGAACACTATACCTATTTTTTGCAAAAATTTGACACATTCAGATCTAAGTGAAGGATAGAAAGCAAAAATCAGAATTTCTTAAAGATTTTTCTTTGGGCGACCTCTTTTTAAGAATTTTATTTTTTTTGAAGAACATTTTGGAGAAATTATATTTTATATTTAATACTTTACATAAACAATCACAAAACAATAATAAATTGATACGAGTTTGTATTTCAGTCTGAGATAATATAGTGACGACTTTGCCCCACCCGTTGAGTGACGACAATGCCCCACGCGACAGTTTTTGATAAAAACATGAATAACAAATCGAAACTCGAATCAGGTGTTACACAACCTACCATCTCGTGTTCGCCAAACATTTCTCAACAATAATAACTCACCTTTATACTTCTTTGATCAAAAATGTACTTGGAAGAAAAAAAGTTCTGCGCCGGAGAAAAATTACTTTTGAGGCTCCGAAACACTTTCTGATGAATAAATAATTACACATAACCTATAATTCTACCAAACTCCGTCGGTAATGTAGGAATAGTGCAATACACTTACGCTAAAAAAAATGGGTTGGTAGCCCTTATATTTTTTAAGATAATAGCGAGTGACGACTTTGCCCCACTGACGACATTACCCCACTCTCCCCTAAAGTGCAACCTCACAATTTTCTAAACATTTTGAAAAGTTTAGGTTTCTGGGTAAGTAATTCAACAAAAATTAATATCAAAGAATTTTGATTGTATAAAAGACAGCAGAATCAAATTTTCTACCAAAAGAAGAAGAAGAAGATTCGATGCGGAACATTTGAGGTGTTTTACTATTTACTGAAAATTAGGGCTGTCGTATCTTTTGTTTAAAAAATGAAATTATATTTTAAAGGTTTAAAAACCCCCAAGGGACAACACCACCGTAGCGTTCTTAAAGACTGGAGAAAGTTGAAGAACTAGGATCGCTAGCGAATGGGGATACTCAAACCACTGGTCACCTTCGTTTTCACTTACGTGGTAAGGTTTTGTGGAGAATATAAGATTCGATGCGTCAGATCTTTGAATTTAAAGCGTACCTAATGGATTATCCGCACTTGCATGGAGGATACTATATAATCGGCTGAACAGCCCACCTTCAGCATCTGCAATCATGAAGCTTCTGTGTTTGGTTGTATTCGCTTTACTGGGCATCGCGAACTCTGCAAATGGAATGCCGCCATGGGAAATAATAGAAAGGAGCGAAATCCATTCTGGGAGGAAATAACTTTAAAACAAACAATTGCTGATTGCTTTCAATTTATAATTACTAATAAAGTGAATTTTATTTATGCCGAAAATATCGAAAGTTTTGTTTTAATAGTAAAGGGCAACCTCACAATTTTCTAAACATTTTGAAAAGTTTAGGTTTCCGGGTTAGTAATTCAACAAAAATTAATATCAAAGGATTTTGATTGTATAAAAGACAGCAGAATCAAATTTTCTACCAAAAGAAGAAGAAGAAGATTCGATGCGGAACATTTGAGGTGTTTTACTATTTATGACACTTACTGAAAATTAGGGCTGTCGTATCTTTTCTTTAAAAAATGAAATTATATTTTAGTTGAGGAACTAGGATCGCTAGCGAATGGGGATACTCAAACCACTGGTCACCTTCATTTTCACTTATAAATGATGACGTGTAAAGGTTTTGTGGAGAATATAAAATTCGATGTGTCAAATCTTTGAATTTAAAGCGTACCTAATGGATTTTCCACACTTGCATGGAGGCTACTATATAATCGGCTGAACAGCCAGCCTTCAGCAACTGCAATCATGAAGCTTCTGTGTTTGGTTATATTCGCTTTACTGGGAATCGCGAGCCCCTCATATGCAATGCCCAAATTTAGATCGACGCGGTATGGATAATAAAATAAAACAAACAACTGCTGATCGTTTGAATATTAGAATGACTAATAAAGTGTGTTCTATTTAAGCAGAAAATATCAAAAGTTTCGTTTTAATAGTAAAGGGCAACTTAACAATGTTCTGAACATTTTGAAAAATTTCGGTTTATGGGTAAGTACTTAAATGAAAATTAATAACAAAATATTTTGATTATATAAAAGACAGCAGAATAAGATATTATACCAAAAAAAGAAGAAGAAGATTCGATGCGGATTTGAGATATTTTACTATTTACATTTTTTTACATTTACTGCAAAGTATGGGTATCGAATCTTTTGTTTTAAAAACGCGTTAGCTTATTTGAATTATTTTTTAGAAGATTCGATGAGACAGAAATACAAATATTTTTTTCCCCCAATTTCTCAAGGCAAGCGCTCTCAGTAGTGTGGAGAAAGTTGAGGAACTAGGATTGCTAGCATTATGGGGATATTCAAACAACTGGTCACCTTTATTATACCCTTGCAGAGCATTGGGTATTATAATTTTAGTCAGAAGTTTGTAACGCAGTGAAGGCGACATTCCAGACCCCATAAAGTATATACACTCTTGATCAGCATCAAGATCTGAATCGAAATACGTCCGTACGTCTGGCCGTCTGTCTGTTCTGTGTAAACTAGTCTCTCAGTTTTAAAGCTATCTTGATGGAACCTAACCAAAAGTTGTGTTGTTATTGCACACGGAATATAAATCGGAACCGGACGGATCGGGCGACTTTATCGGATAGCTCCCAAGCGAAAGATTAAGAAAAAAATTACTACTTAGTGGTTTTTTATTATACCGACTTGATTTCTTCCAGATAGTGTTTTTAATTACTTTGGAATTTCGAATTAGATTCTATGAAAATCGGATTACTATATCATATAGCTGCCATAGGAAAGATCGAAAAAGATATATATATGATAATGATATATGATAACGTCGTTGATTTTTATCCCTCGAGCATGGTTTTTAGAACATCGAGTTTTTAAACTACCCTCGAGTCGAAAAACAAAATTTTATAAAAAATAAAATCATTGTTTTTCATCAGAAAATAATTTTGGAATATAGAGTTTTCTAACGAATCTTGAATTTTGAATTAAATTTCATACAAGTCGGACCACAATATCATATAGCTGTTATATGAACAATCGTCGAAAACATAGAAAATTAATAGAGAAATCGTTATGTATTTTGTTTGACATATTTGATGACTGCAAGGGTACATATATAAGCTTTGACTCGCCGAAGCTAGATTGCTTTCTTGTTAGAAACCACGTACGTTTATTAAAGCTATTTTTTAAAAGATCAACAAATTAAGGAACTAGAATTGACAGCGTATGGGGATATTGAAACCACTAGTGACCTTCGTTTTCACTTATAAATGATGACGTGTAAAGGTTTTGTGGAGAATATCAAATTCGATGCGTCAAATCTTTGAATTTAAAACGTAATGGATTCGCCGCACTTGCATGGTGGCTACTATATAATCTGTTGAACAGCCAGCCTTCAGCAACTGCAATCATGAAGCTTGTGTGTTTGCTTATTTTCGCTTTACTGGTCATCGCTATCCCCTCAAATGGAAAAAAAGTAGGGCCGGTAGAACCTTGGGTTCCGCATCCAAAACCCATTGGTTATTAAAAACAAAATTTGTTCTTTTAACGCCTGATTGAAAATAAATTTAAGGCAAACAATTGCTGATCGCTTTCTTATTTTAGACATACTTATAAAGTGGGTTCTTTTAAAGCAAAAGTATAGAAAGTTATGTCTTAGTAGCAAAGGGCAAGTTATTAACTTTCTGATCTTTTTCAAAAATTCGGTTTTCTAGGTAAGTACTTAAACGAAAATTAATAATAAGGTACTTTCAATATATAAAAGTCAGCGAAATAAGATTTTCTACACAAAAGGATAGGAAGAAGAAGAAGATTTGATGTGATCTTATAAAAAATTTTTTTTTTAAGATTTGATGAACAAGAAATAAAAATATTTTTCCCCCCGATTTCTCAAGGGTCAACACCAACGTAGCGTTCCCAGAGGCTGGATAAAGTTGAGGAACTAGGATTGCCAGCAGAATGGGGATACTCAAACCACTGGTCTCCATTATTATACCCTTGCAGAGCAAAAGGGTATTATAATTTCAGTCAGAAGCTTGCAACGCAGTTTAGGAGACACCTCAGACCCCCTAAAGTATATATATTCTTGATCAGCATGACGATCTGAATCGAAATACGTCTGTACGTCTGTCCGTCTGTCCGTCTGTCCTCCTGTCGGTTTCGATGTAAACTAGTCTCTCAGTTTTAAAGCTATCTGGCTGAAACTTTCCCAAAAGTTGTGTAGTTGTTGCACGCAGTATATAAGTCGGAACGGGCCGGATCGGGCGACTATATCGGATAGCTCCCATACGAGAGAATGGAATAAAAAATTCTTACTCCGTTATTTTTGATCAGATCGACTTGATTCCTTCCAGATGGCGTTTTCTAACTGTTATTGAATTTCGGATTAAATTTGAACAAAATCGGATAACTCTATCTTATAGCTGCCATAGAAGAGATCAAAAAATATATATAGGTATAAATAATGGAAAAAAATTATTATGTCTTTGTTTTTAATGCCACGAGCATGATTTTTGGAACATAAAGTTTTTCAAATACTCTTAAATCGAGAAAAAAATGTCATAAAAATCGGAGTACTATATCATATAGCTGCCATAGGAAAGATCGAAAAATCTATACAGAAATAACGGAAATAAAATTATTACCTCGTTGTTTTTCATCAGACAATCATGATTTTTGGAATATAGAGTTTTCTAATGAGTCTTGAGTTACATATTAAATTTGATCAAAATCGGACGACTATATCATATAGCTGTCATATGAACAATATGGAAGTCGTCATAGATTCGATGCTGTTTAGCCTTTTTGTATTTTGTTAGACATATTTATTGACTGCAAGGGTATATTAGCTTCGGCTTGCCGAAGCTAGCTTCTTTTCTTGTTTTCACTTATGACAGATGACAGTTTTGTGGAGAATATCAAATTCGATGCGTCAAATCTTTGAATTTAAAGCGTACCTAAGGGATTCGCCGCACTTGCATGGATGTTACTATATCATCTGTTCAACACCCATCCTTCAGCATCTGCAATCATGAAGCTTCTGTGTTTGGTTATATTCGCTTTACTGGGCATCGCGAACTCCTCACCTCCTGAAAAGATGCCGCCATGGGAAATGATACCCAGGACGGATATCCATACTGGGAGGAAATAAAGTTAAAACAAACTATTGCTGATTGCTTTCATTTTAGAATTACTAATAAAGTGTGTTCTATTTAAGCAGAAAATATCGAAAGCTTTGTTTTAATAGTAAAGGGCAGCCTCACAATTTTCTAAACATTTTGAAAAGTTTAGGTTTCTGGGTAATTCAAAAAAATTAATATCAAAGTATTTTGATTTTATAAAAGACAGCAGAATAAGATTTTCTACCAAAAAGAAGAAGAAGAAGATTCGATGCGGAACATTTGAGGTATTTTACTATATATGACACTTTCTGAAAATTAGGGTCAACACCACCGTAGCGATCTTAAATACTGGAAAAAGTTGAAGAACTAGGATCGCTAACGAATGGGGATACTCAAACCACGGGTCACCCTCATTGTCACTTATGGATGATGACGTGGTAAGGTTTTGTGGAGAATATAAGATTCGATGGGTCAGATCTTTGAATTTAAAGCGTACCTAATGGATTTTCCGCACTTGCATGGAGGCTACTATATAATCGTCTGAACAGCCCGCCTTCTGCATCTGCAATCATGAAGCTTTTGTGTTTGGTTATATTCGCTTTACTGGGAATCGCGAGCCCCTCAAATGGATTGCCCAAACTTAGAACGACGCCGCTGCCAGATATTAAGTATCCTCCCGCCAATTATGGAAAATAAAATTAAAACAAAAAATTGATGATCGTTTTAATAATAGAATGACTAATAAAATGTGTTCTATTTAAGCAGAATATATCGAAAGTTTCGTTTTAATAGTAAAGGGCAACTGAGCAATTTTAGAAACATTTCAAAAAATTTGACATTCTGAGTAAGTATGAAATAATATGTGTACCTATAATAATATAACATTTTATAAATAAATATTGCACTTAAGGTTTGCAAAAAGTTATTTTTATTAAATAAGAAACAGCAGAATAAGAGTTGCAGAAAAAAAAATTTAAGGAAAAATAATTGATTCGATGCATAAAATGTAAGGTATTTTAATTTATGTGACACTTACGTTCGTTGAAAAAACACGTACCCTTTTATTCGTAAAAATATTCATTATTAGATTAGATGAGAGAGAGATAAAAAGTGTTCAACATGTATTTAAAACAACTTATAGTTTTTGCCATTACCACTTCAGTATACTCTATTTTGATTCCACCCTTCTGTGAGTTGATTATTTATTTCTGTCTAACTTTACGTCAACTGCATTTAAATACCCCAGGTGACTTGTTAGTAGTGGATCCACCACTGAGTGAGTGTTATGTTCCATATAAGTGAACGAATTATATTTCTTTGAAATTTTAGAGTGCTACTATGCTAAAGATTGTGAATGTAGGTAGTTTAGTCTTATAAAAACCTTCGATTAAACAAATAAATAAAACAACACAACCTTTCTTAGCTTATAGGAAGTGCCTTGGCTCTGAGTACGATGTGAGGCCACCAAACCGATTGTAAATCGAAGTAAATGTAAATGTTTTGTGGAGCACCGAAATAAAACCCATTATCAGATACATATAGACTATAGATAAAATACTGAGGGACTTGGATGCTAATGATGCGTCATGGTCACGGGACGATGTCTGCTCTCAAGACGAATTTTCGGCAGACAATTTGGCAAGCTGTCAACGCCACTCACAGTTGAAGGGGGCGTGGCAGTGGGATATTTCAAGTGGGGAAAGAGAATCGACAACTCGCAGCTAATGATTGTCTGCGAAAGGACATCAATCAATCCGAAGTTAAAGCGAAACCACCCTTACTCGCAGAAGAACTTGCCCTCTTTATATGGTACTCACATTAAATAAATAAACAAACTTATAAACTCATTCAAATCATATTTAAAAATCATCGTGGATGGGCAGCAGTAGCAACAGCTTGTCCATTCATGAATTATTAGTTGAAGCTTATCAAACGTGACCAAAATCGGAACGGAAAAGTTAATAATAAAAAAGAGGCAGCAGCAGTTGGCCAGCTGTTACTGCTGGAGGGCCAAGCCAAGCCAAGCCAGTGTGAAAAATCAGCAAAACGTAGGTCCAGAGAAAAGTCGTGACTCCCACCCTGAAGGGGAGTGGAAAGTCCTGAAAGGACGACTGGACAGGCCCACATGTGCTGCGTTATTATCTTTTGGCCTGACCACAAGACGTGTCAACTTGCGGTTCCATTTCCCAGCCAACAATACTTCACATATAAATCAAGCTAAGAAAATCTCTGTCGACTTTTTTCATCGGACAAGCCGCTTATAAATTTTTGAGCAATACCTTTTACTCGATCTTGCAGTGAAACAAAAATGTGGTATGTATATAGTTTAAATAGTAAAAATGTTATAGTATTTTATATAGTATTTATATTATTTAAATTAAAATTGTACTTAATATACACATGTACCTCTACACATAATATTAATACTAACCTTAATATGGTTTATGGTTATGGAAAATACTTCTATTGAACGGCTATCAATTTAAAGGAAAACTTTAATAGTTTAACTACAATGTGGCAGAATTTTATAAATCTAGAAAACATCTAAAGTTGAACCAGCATTTTAGATATTCTGTTATGTTATTGTCTTTATAATTAAATAAAATTAATATGCTGTGAATGCATTATATTTAAAAACCTTACTAAAAAGGATTTAGTTTTCTGTGCAGAAAATCAGCTTATTGACAGTTCATGTGGGTGCCTCGCTTGTCTGCCTTTGTGGTCAATACTGCAGGACTTGTCCTAGCCAACAGACGTCTTAAAGGCGAGGTCTTAAAGGTTTCCAGCGGGTCGGGGCACCGCCCAAGTTGTTGGGCCGTGACTGCCACGCCAAGGTGACGTAATTATAGATGTACTGGTAAGTCGCCAGCCTTCGAGCCAAAGTGCAATGGACGCGGCACAAAGCAACCCTTGCATGCAATGGACATCCAACAAACAAATTCACAACGGGAGCTGTTGTAGCTGCGAAATGTTAAATGCTAAATGGCAAGAAAACAAAGTCAAGGTACGAGAGCGGCGAAAGGGTTGACACGGCCAAAAAACCGAGCAGCCAAGTGGGCGTGGCCAACGGCGTGCGGTTGTCCCATAATTGAAAATGGTAAGAGGCCTTTCTAGTGTTGAAAGCTCTAGACTGTTGTAAAAAGATAGATATAAATAAGTGCTGAATCTTTTCTGGAGTTATAATTTTCTTAGAAATTTTAAATTAATTATTGTATTTACAATATTTTCTATTTTTTGGGCGTAAAAAAGGATCTCACTTAAAAAAGTCTAATTAAATTAATAATGCAAACGAAGTTGCCTAAATACTAAAAGGTGTAAGTTTGCTCTTTTAAATCTTCGCCTGAAAACAGCTAAATTGGGAGAGCTGGCTGAGTGTATCTAAGGGATACCCTTTAGAGTTGGCAAGAGTTGAGTTGTCGCAGTTCGGTATCTTGTAATCTGGCAGCTACAAGACGCTGCGACACATTAGCATAAAATCATGATTAAGATACGAACTTCTCTGTTCAGTGCGTTTCCGTATCTATGCTTTAATGAGCATAAGTATCTTATGGGTAATTAACGCACACAAGACAAACGTAAATCAAGGTTATCTCTCCTTCGAAAAAGAGATTCAAGAGCCAGCAAATCCTTTTCTAAAAAATATCTGTGCGGGCACGAATCCGCTTAAAATGCAATTTGTACAATTGTACAATGGACATACTTTATATTCTTTCTTTTCGGCTAGACACTTCCGTTTGACGCAGTTTCTGGGTGGCTGCAGCTCAGTGGGAAAGTGTCATTAGCATTGATTAATTCGTCCTGCGATTTACATGGGAAAACAATCAATCAACGCGTCCTGCTCGTCCTCCATTAGTCAATCTCGAGATTGAGATTGAGATGCACAGTGCCACTTGAACTGCTAGCGAGTGTCAACCGGGCAAAGCCATTCCGAGCTGTCCATCTGCCCTGTCTTCCCTGGATTCCATCCATCTATCCACCCATTTCTGGGACATTAGCAATCACAATCGTCTGCCGTGGGGCACATCATTAACGGCTTTCTGGCGGAGGTGTGGTCGTTTCAAGGCGGCCCATCAACAAGGCCAAAATGTTTATGGAGCTGTTCTATCCAGTTTAGGCTTAATGAATTACCACGGTGATACCTCATGTTTACGAAAAAGTTTCCACTCAATGTGCTGAAATTAAAGCGGTCTTTGTGCTTCAAATGAGAGCTAACAGGGGTGTAGTCTAGGATAATCATTAGAAATTGAATGATAGTAAACATAATTTAGCTTGAAAAAATAATTAAATTTAAGTTGATTGGTTATAAGTTTAAAATAGGCATTACCCTCTTGAGAGTACATTTTTTAAGAAAAGGTATAAACTGAAGTATATTTTATTTTTACCTTCCACTTTGATGAATTTCCCATGCTGACCCCTTGGAATTTCTTCTTCGCTCTACTTCAGCTAGATCATCGCAACCATAATTAAGCCACATCAATGTCGTGTTAAGTAGCCGGCCGACTAATGATAGCAACATTTGCAACAAAAGCCAATTGTTAAGGGGAGCAACTGAGGAAGAACTGAGCGCTCTCAAATTGTGGGTAAACCCACACAAAGCTTTGGGACTTTAATTTTTATGCGTGAAAACACAGACCAACCGACCCCTAAAGAAAAAAACAAACAAGCAGCGACCACAGGCGGCACTTAAAATGCGAGACATTCATTTTTCTAGGACTCGAATAAACAGCAGGACGAAGGGCGGTGGTGGTGGGCGGAAGGACACGAGGAAATTCAATTAGCCTGAGAACTTTCGGGTTGGTTTCACCGCTTGGGCAACGTTTGCTTAGGTAATGTTTCAATTAATTCGTTCCCCGGACCTCAGATGTCTGGTCAGCCCCTGCTAATGATGCTGGTGATACCGGGGGGTCCTTTCTAGGACGATAGCACTAGATGATCTTTAAGGATGATGCATGGGATTTCCATCTCCCAGCGAACAAATCAAATCAATTGGCCGCAATTAATAACACCAATTCGGGCTCATTGATCCAGACTGCGACAGCATTTCATTATTTGTTATATATTTCAAAGATATTTATTTGATAAACGCCGCCAACCTCGCCGCCAGACGCCAAAAATCTCATCGCTTTAAGTGGCTCATTTCGGATCGAGAATCGAGAATCGGTTGGGTTTGGGCTTTGGTCCTTTGCAGCCATGGCCGCAGGCAACAAACCAACACCAAGTCGGAAAAAAATGAGCAGGGCTCCACGGCTACCGGGTAACATATCAAAACGCCGCAAATGGGCAAGAAAAAATAAAATCATATGAGCACAAAGTGCCAAAAAAGGCAAACATGCGACGTCGTCCAAAGGATTTGCCCCATGGCAGCAGGCAAAAGCAAAGACAAAGTAGCTGTGGACCCGCCGAAAAAAAAATAACTGAAAAAGACCCAAAAATGTGCTGAGCCAAGACAGCGCTGTGGATATATTTGGGAATTTATGCCGCGATTTTGAAATGAAAAAAGTACGGGCAAAAACGGAAAAATAAAAGTGAAATAAAGGCAAGGAGAACTTGTACTGGAGGCGGCAGAAGCCAGAACAGAATCGCGTATTCGGTAGCCCGCAAATGTCAACCGTATAAGTTTGCAGGCAATGTTTTGGGTGCGCTCTGCCGAATAAGCGATACGCTTCCGGTGATAAAATTCCTTGAACATCTATTTTATAATAGCTATCAAAAATGTTAACTAATATTTAAAATTTGTGTTCTTAATTGCGCTATCTAAAAATGAACATGTCAAGTGTTAGTAGATACCAGTTGGTTAGTTTGCTTTAAAAAATGTACATAAAAAAATATCTTTGTATCTTGCGCCTTAAGAAATAACTACTTTAATTTACCGTTTTATATTCTTAGTTTCCTTTTCATTCAATTATTTTCTGAGGAAGGGTATTCGTGATTCTCAAACATTTTTAACTGCATGTGAGTCAGATGTAGGATGCCACATAAAGCTGCAGTTGAAGCTCACACTAGGCAGCGTTAATCCAATATGTGATTACGAGTGTTCTGACTTTAAGCATCTGTTAAATTGGCTTAATCCCCGACGCAGTGTGCGTGTGAGCCAGAGTCTGAGTTGCTCTTTGCCAGTATTCGTATCTCCCGCTGCCACTTTGTAACTGTTGTCATTTTTATTGCCCTGGGAATGTTTTTTGTCCACTGGCTCGGCGCACACGCCCCGCAAAAAAGTTATTTTTTCTGATTCCCCCTCCGATTCTATCTTCTCAACTTTGCGACTGGGTGTCCTTTGTACTCGGCTAAACAAAAGTTTTGTCGATGATTTTATTGACCAATTTTTGGGTGCGTAAGTTCTGTATTTTTTTCGTATTCCTTCTTTTGGCAGCAAAGTTTTTGCATGCCTCCTTACCAGAAACCAATGACAGACAATCTGAAATCGAGTTCGTTTATTTTGGATTTTCTTCTCTTGGACTTTTTATGGTTTTATTGCTTCATCTGCGGGGATTTAAAGTTTTATTGTGATTTAAACACTTGTTAATCGTGTGTGCATATGTCAATTCGCTGTCGCCTTGTTTGTATATGTTCGTGGGGGTCAGATTGGGTTTTTATGATTTTGGGGGATTAAGTTGTTATCGTATATTATAACCTATCAGCAGAGTGGGTAAGTATGAAATCGTAGGCGAATATTAAAGTGCATTTATCTTCTCTACGGAAATATATAAAAAATTTAAAAGAGATTTTTTTGATCTAAATTTCATACATACTGATTTTATTTTTACGATTTTTAAAATTAAATAATTAAAAGACTTATAGCAGTTTTAAGGTTGTTAGTAGTAAATCCATATACAGTATTCCTTGTTTCGATCCGCTGATTAAAAGCATGTTTTGTCGTTCCCATTTGATCCAATTTGCGTGGCGATGTTGGGCATCTAAGCCGAAATTTACATTCGCTTAATTCATGTCACCACCAGCAGCGAGCCACTGGCATCTGCAATCCATCGTTTCATTGATAAATTGTCCCGGTCCGAGGAGATCTGGGCCAGTTCTCTGTGACGGGCTTTAACGTTTCGTCTCTGGCGGAGGCAATCACTTCGCTTCAATCTGCGGGTGACGGGCTCTTGGCCAACTCCACTGCCACTGCCACTACTGCTACTGCTGCTGCTGCCACATCTGCTCAGCTCCAGTTGCAGCTCCATCTCCAGCCGGACGAACGATTGTAATCAAAATACAACAAATTAAGGGGAGAGCGGCGAGGCGAGTGTGCGTGAGAGCGGGCCGGGTACCTTTTTTAAAATATTTATTTATGCAATTATTTTGCAAGTAGCTCAAAATAAATAAATGAAATGAAATAAAATAGCAGGCCGGCGAGCCGAGTACCTGGGACGGGTTCCAAGTGCCCGGGCACGACTTCAATTGACGAGGCAGTAAATTAAAATTTAAATTTATGCCATTTGCTGCTGCCGGTGTGCCGGTGGAAACTGCTGCCAGGTTGGTGTCCCGAAAACGGAGAGACAGGGCACAATTAGGTGCAGCTAAAGGTGCGCCTCTGGAGTTAACGTGGCCAAAAGGCCAACGTCCGGGGAAGCGGAAGGGAACGGCTGTATTGGCCATGTCATCACTTCTATTGTCATCATCTCGCGTCATCTTTCTGTCAAAAATGTATTTATTTATTTGTGCATTGCAAATGCATTGTCCTGAGTGAAACGTCATCGCGGTCACTTTCAGCGCTTTTCAGCACCTGCCAACAGGTGTTGTTTGGACCCTCGCAGTCGCGTTTTGACCCAATTAGTTGTGGTCGGGTTGGCTACAATGTAAGCGCAGAGCTTATGTTTATGGCTCGTAAACGTCGTCGCGGGTTTCCAGTTTTCAGTTTCCATCATGTGGCATTTGGAAACGGTCCAAACTTAGTCGTATACGTAATAAATGGGGTCACGCAATTACAATATTCTGGCAATATTTTGAAGCTCACGTATCAAAAATAGCACTCAAATGTTTTTTGTAAACGAAGTAGATTTGTTTGTTCACTGATCAAATTTATGATTTAGGCACCTGCATTTTTGTCCTTTTCTTTTCCCAATCTAGTTTTGAAGTTTTATAGTTAAAATCGATATTACATTCAGTCTCTTAAAATAAAGTTTTCTCTTTCTTTTTTATGTTATTTACTTATGATAAAAGTTATCCTAGACAACAAGAAATGTAACCCAGTTTTGTGCTGTGCACTTATCGCTTAATGTGTGAATCCGCATCTCGTTTCACACAATCATTACCGCAATTACGGGTTGATCTTCCTGCACAATTTGAGATACTGCCTTCTGCACTCATTAGCCCAATCATAACTGTGAAGTTGTAAAACGGCCGAAAACAGGAAAGCCGGCGGAAACCACCCAGATCCACTGCTCGGATACAAAGACATCCTCGACCGCCGAAAGGGGGCCATAAATGGCAATCAACAGACAATCAATGGGTTAAACCCTTTTTGCTTTATGATCCGAAAACAATTTAAGCGTTTATTTGTTTTTGATGCCACCACAACAAGTAATCAGGAGCCGCCAACTTGTCTTCCAAATGGTAGCAAATCAAATTGGCCAACAAAGAACGGAGCGGACCAGAAAAGAGCTGAGTGCAATGAGCATATATCATGGCCACAACTTGCATTTGGACACTGCCCGAGTACGAGTCCAATTGATGGATCACCGAAAACCGACTGCAGCAATCGCTGTGGCTGTTGCTGCTGCTGCTGTTGCTCTTCTTGTTGTTGTTGTTGCAGCAGTTGAGTTTCTGCTGCTGCTGCAGTTGCAGTTGCAGTGGGACCAAAGCCAAATGAGTTGAGAAGCAGTTGCGTAAAACGAAACCAGCGATAATGATCATGCCAAGCGCAGAACGCGTTAAAGATTTCAACGTCGTCATCAGCAGCCAACAGAAGCATTCTACAGTGGGAACTCGATAAAAAGGCAAGGCAGACAATTATTTTGTTATCTTTATTGATTGTCTTATAAAAAAAACCACGAATACCTCAAAAATATAATCCCAAAAGTTAATTGTAATGAATATATAATACAATTAACGTTCTCTTTATTAGGAAAGTTATTGCAATTTCAAAAAGCATTCTTAAGTATAAAAAATTAAATTAAGTATTAAATAACTTGGTAAAATAGCCAACATTAATTTTAACAACAAACTTTTAGTTTTATCTTTTAAAATAAAAGTGTTGAAATAAATAGTATTGTATTAATTTTGAACCTTAAATTAATTGTAGTCTGATACGTTAAGTGTTCGTTTATAGGGTACAATAAATAAAAATTCATTTCAGTTATTAAAATTTAAATAATAAATTTTGTAGGGTTTTGATAAAATAAAGAAAAATTCTTGTCTGTATTAGCTCGTTAGTACAATAGTACAGCATGTATTTTGTGTCTTGTAATACGAGCATCTACTGTAGCGCACACCTGAAGTCTTCTTCAGCTCCTGACCCATCGGCGACCGGACGTAGTCGCTGGCCAAGTGCGATTGCAAATGCACGGAATTCTCATTGAGCCCCCATCCAGGGGCAGTCCGCCTTCTGCCACCCCGCCCCTGTTCGCAGTTGGTCTGGCCATTAACGCGGCTGGCAAGCACTTGGCATCGGCGATCGGCTACCGTTGCTACCGGTTACTTCTTGGCCAACTCCATCCACATCCACATCTCCATCGGCCGGCACTTCTTCCTCTGGAGAACCCCTTCCACCGCTTCCTCCGCTGATGAGTTTAGTGCCGCTCACTCGTCAATGATTTGTACTTTTCCCAGTGCCCGCCGCCTGACGAAAATCATAATAATCATAATAAAATGCAGCTATATCCATTTTAACACCAAAAATACGAGTATGTCTGGCTCCTTGGGAGATTGGCGGTAAGAAGAGGCGGAGGAGCTTTGAGGTATTGCTTGTCTTGTATTGTTGTCATGTCAGTTTTGGACCTGCGGACCTAGCCAGAATGGCCTGTCGCATTAAAGTCGCTGATTTGTGTTAGGCATCGACGGTAGCCGCTTCTGGGTGGTTCTGGTAATTAAGTGAGCTTAACTTGCTGAAATTGTATGCGGAGTGCCGTGGTAAATGCCAATGGAAAGCTTCCCATTCTCCCTGAGTTGTAAGATCACTGAAAATTGGCTAGGGCTGTGGCTTAAATATGCAGTCAAAAGGTGAAGAAATTATGATATTTTTATCAGGTTTTCAACATTTATAGAGGCTCTAACATGCATATAATAATGTACCTAAAACTAATTGCTATAAAAAATACTTTGTTATAATAAATCCAATCGTACCTCATAATATAATCTTTTAAAATGTTATTTACTGTGCAAAAGTTAAACATATCTTTTAGCTAAATTGACTCATTTGTATGAAAGTGGTTCAATAAAGCCTGATTTTCAGCAAAAACAAGTAGACACTTGTGGAACCACACAGCAAATTTAGTTACAACGATGACAACCGCGGCAGCAGATCTGCATCTGCATCTGAACTTGTATCTGCATCTCAATGCATTTTGCAACATTTTGCCGATCCGTTGCAGCGATTGATGTTGTCAATCAGAGCAGATTTAAACGAAGGTTAAGAGTTGCATACGCTTAATCGGGCAGACCGATTCAGTCGGCGACTGAGATACAAAATACGAACTGGGATCCAGAGACCACAAGCGAATCATTGAAGCGCGTAAAGTGCGGCAAGTCCAGGATGCTGCAACCAGCGAACCCCAATCCGAGTTATCGGTAATGATGCAAGTTGCAAGTCCGCCAGATGCCGGGCGATAGAGATGCGGCGCCGCTGATTGCAATCGCCGAGCGTTTACTGTTCTCTGTTTGCATTTGTGTTGCAAATTTACAGCTCCATCAGTTGCGGCAGTTGCGGCTTCATGGCTGCATGGATGCATCATTAGCCCCGCCAAGGTCACGGTGGATCGATGAGGCAATCAGTTGGCGGGGCCAACGGCAAGTGGCAACAAATTAGCCAAAGTGATGATGCGTTAAGTGGCAAAATGGCGCAACCGCCAATGAGGAAATTAGTTTTGGCGGTTTGCGGAGCAATCGAGTTGCCTGCTAAGGGTTGCGCCACTCGCCACATTGCTGTGACAGCTGCCCACACTTTTGGCACTTTGTCTTTGGCCAATTAAAATCAAATTTCAAAATTTCAAAATGCTCCAAATTTTGTGCAACTGATGACAGTTTAATTGCCCTCCTGACAGCTGCTTTCACTTAGGCACGAGTATCATCATCCGAGATCTGGAGCGAGTTGATATGGGGAAGTGGGATAGATGGCCCCGTCGATAAGGTCGCCCTCTGCAAATTTTGACATTAATTACTCATCAAATTGTGGGCACTTTAAAAGAGCTTCCTTTTTTCGAGAGTCATTGTCATTCGGCGCTTAAAAGGGTTCCCATTAGGGGTTGTTCAATTACATATATTTGATGGATAAAGTCAACACATAGGTGGGAGTACTTATAATAACCAATAAAAAAAATTAACAGCCATCCACAGCAGGAGAATTGATAAAGGTTCACTCTATTGGTAATTATAATGTTCTGTAACGGCTATAAAATACTTAAAGCACCACGTTCTATATAAAAATGTATAATTATTTAAAATGCAAGGATTATTAATTTGGAGAGTCGTTATCATTCGATGCTTAAAGGCGTTTCTGTTAAGGAATGTTCAATTATTTTTATGGTTAAGTAAACACATAAGTGAGAGTATTTCTGAAAATCAATTGATTTACAAAGGTTTCCATTTCTCTATTAATAATGCAATTTTCTTAACCAGAAAATTAAATACTTTAAGCTCCATGCTTCAAACAAAATGTATATTTTTTTGAATGCAAGGATTATTAAATTGCACTGGTCAACGATTAACCTTGAGAGCCTCTTCGCGATCCCAAGTCCAACTCCCAATTTGTACGGGATATGCAAATGCGCCAGACAGATAAACACACATTTGCAGCTACCAACGAGCCGGCTCAGCGAACTTGGCCCAAACGCATTACCGTTAGAAGCGCCAAATTGCCAATGAAGAAGGGGATCAATTTGCATGTGAGGCAGCCGCGGGCAAAAGCCAGTAGCTCCAATAACTTCAAATTACAAATCATAATGCGGCAGCGAGGAGAAATTAGAATATCAAAATTTTTTGTCTGCCGATCGGCGGCTACTGCAATTTCGTTGCCAGAAAGCGAAATTGGCCCTTAGCACGAAGGTCCCAAATTGCCGGCGATCGTCGCGAATTCGGGAAACTAACTGTTCATCTTCGATTTTGCATAATAGCTGCGATTCGTCTGTTGCGATTCTCATGCAGATTCGAGCGGTTGCATAAAATGGCAATTAACCTTAATTGATTGCGCGATTATCGCCAAACTCAGACTCGGCCACTTCCCTTTGCAGGAATTTCACTTTCCGCCTGTGCGCAATTGTGCGACTTCCGATTTGGATTACAGCCAGATTGCAGCGCATAGAACTTCTGGCCCGGTTGTCTATCATTAGCATCAAAAAGCTATCATCATCATTACAACGAGCACGAGCTCACACTTTGCACGCGATGAGGCTGCTAGATTCGATGGTGTTGCTGCCGTGCTCTTCAAGTTGCTGCCGTGCTGATGGTGTTGCTGCCGTAATGTTGGTGTTGCTGCTGCTGTTAGATACACACGCGGGCAATAATCATAGGCCAATCATTGGGGTATGGAGGTGTTGCTTTGTAAAGTGCGGCATAATCAGTGGGCAGCATGCAACAACTTGTAAGACTTTGGGTAAGGGGAACACAGTTTCGTCATCTTCCACTCAATGTGCTCCTTTGCAAACACTGTACTGATGAAACTATTAAGCAGAGGTATTTACCTTTAATTCATTTAACTAGACAAAGATGCTAGGATGCTAGTTATATGCCAAATAAGCAACATTTAATAAAGAATAACTATAATTTCCTGACAACAATAAAATAGATCCTTAAATAACAATTAAATATATTTATTATAATGATGAGCTCAGCAATAAGAAATATACAAATAAATTTAATGAGAAAAATAATTCAATCTATGGTACTCAATTCCCTTCCGATTGAAGGCTTTCAGCCGGCTGACATAAGTTGACAAACTTTTCCAGCCAAGGCAGCTCGGCTCGAATCGCTCAATCGAGCGACAACAGAGTTGGGCTCCAAATAGATATATCAGTAGCTTTAAATATAAATCAATAAGCGGGCAAATGGCAAACGCTGCATGTAAGCACTAAATCAAAGTGTCAATACGGGTAACTGATACACTGAAGCGGAGCGGAGTCGAGTTGAGCAGCGGAAATTGAATTATGCCCCGTTGGACTCCAAGACTTCGACTTCAGACTGGACATGCATGAATGAGCGTTTGACTGAATGGCTGCTGTTGCCAGTGTTGCTGCTTCAAATGTTGCTGCTGCTACTATTGCTATTGCTTCTGTTGTTGGTGCAAATGTTGCTGCTGAAACCACTGCTGCCCTGAGTGACAGACGGCGGACAAGTGGTGCTCGAATCGGGTGCAACCACTTTCGTTGGCCAACGGACATCGCCGATCGGAATCGGCGACTGTGTGAATCTGTGGCATAAACTGGAGTCGGCCAAATCTAATGTCCCCGTCTGAGCGATTTCCTTTGCAAACCCGTTTCAGCGGGCATTAGATACGATACGCATATGCGGTACGATACTTTATGGTCTACAATTAAAATTGTGCGACTCCAGTGCGCTTCCAGAGAAGTATCTAAAAAGGGGTTGCTTTACAAGCAAGGGATGGAAAAACGAAGGAAAATTAATTTTATATTTCTTATATAATATTACACCAATTGGAGAAAAAGGTATACTAAGATAGAAAACTTTTCACAGTAGGTAAAGTTGTTAATTCTTTTTCAAGATTCATAGCCAACTAATTTGAATTCGAGTCCCTGAAACACTGTTCCATAAAAATATTATTTATAAATAAAATATTATTAAAACATTTAATGGGCATGAAGCTTATGTACTTAATGGCCAAGACATTATTTCTTTTCATGTCTATTTGAAACCCCTTTGACTAAGCCCCTGTGCCTAAGTGCACGACAAACGCATTAAATGAAAATTAGTTGCAATAACATGAAAATTCATAGCTTAATATAAGGCACACACACACACCAACGAGTAGCAGTTGGCTGACAAAAAACTTTTACTTATACAGTCGGCGTCTGTGGCAGATTGACATGGGAAAATGCTTATAAAAGGACTGTGCGAAGTGTTGAGTTATGATCTGAGTTTTTGCGCAGTTCGGAACAATAAATAAGCTGATTGATTGCTGGCGCAATTTAATTGAGATGATACGTGGGCCCAATTAACGGCCGATTTCCCATGATCTAATGCCGCCACATCCAACGAAAGCGAAAGTGTCGCTCATTTGAATATCTGGCTGACTATCCGCTAGACTGACCACTTTCAATTAACTGACACGTTGGAAAAGTGTTTTCCGAAACGGAAGTGGAAAGTGTTGCAATTAGGCAGCAAACTCGGTTAGAAGGGGGTTAAAGTTAGCCAAGCAGCAATGCGTTAACAATACACGAGCACTCGCTGATTTGTTTTAATAAATCGTAATGTGTTTAGCCTGATCTAAAAGGGTCCAATTAGCGGCAAATAGGGCAAATCCAAGGGCTGTTATTAGAGTTCGAATGCCAAACATTTTTGAGCGACCACATTGTCCGCAGGCAGACAAATATTTACCAGATATTTGGCCTAAAGATTAGCAGAGGCTTGCGGTTGCTAACGGCGTTTCGGGACAGCCAGAGAAATCCATCAAGGGATCATCAAATTCGAAGTGACGTATTACGTTTTCGGAGGCCCAGACTCCAGGGTTCTGGAATGTGCGGGCCCAGACCCCAAAAAATAAAATGAACAACTAAGAGAACCAGGAGAAGACCGACGAAAAAGCCAATAAAACATCAACACGAGCAGAATGATAACAACTAAGTAAACGTCTGTCACTCAGTCGACCTGGCCAGAATTTTGATCAACCAAAAAAAGAAAAGATCAAAGGAGTTGCACAAGAAAAAATATAGATTATTATGCTCGACAGAAAGTATTGTTTAAATCAGATTATGTATTTAAGAACCAATCTAAGCTTACATTTTTTAGTAAAGTTTTTATTTCATTAAGACATTTTTTAGTAGAAATTCATTTCTAAATGTTGGGAATAGAAATAAAACCCATTTATTTCTCTGTGTAGTCTAAAGGATCTGGAACCTTCGATTGATGCCAACGGCAGCTGATCAAAGGCCCCCAAACTTGATTGAAGGCTGAGGGACACTGACGATTGCAGTGCAAATGATAATTTATTAGATTGCGATCTTTGCCCTGGCACAAAAATGTGCCAGCCGCGAATAGAAGCTCGTCCCGGTTCCTTTGGCATTTTTATTGAATTAATTTAACTCGTCATCGTCTGCATTGCTAATTAAGCCGAATTAATCATGAGCAGCCGATCCGGCTGCAGTGGACTAATTATGCGTAGACCAAACTGGGCTAACCGATCTGGATAGAGTTCCACCGCCAGCCTTCAGTTGGCATTAGTGGGCTGCTCCACCAGCTGCTGGCGGCAGTTTTGAAAGCGTTTTGCCAGCACGATGCTCATGATGATTATGATCAAACACTTGATACCGCAATCGCCATCGCAATGGGAACTGGAACTGGAACCCAGACAGAACATTGTCCGAGCTTTGAACCGAACTCGATCAGCTTTGATGTCTTCCGACACGCACGACACTCTTAATGTCACCGGTTACCCTTTGGACCCAGACGGTGGCCTTGATGGGCAGCCATCGGAGGCATTTGGCCAAAAATGCCGAAACAGTTAGTAATTATTTCAGCCCTTTCGCGAGCTATTTGAAAGAAGAAACAAAAGGAAAGGTAAGGAAAAACTAATAAAACGCCAACAGCAACACAAA